AAATATTTTTAGCAAAATTTGTTATGAATGACGAAACTTTTAAAACTTAGTTATTAGTTAAGTTAGATATTAGTATGAATCTTATTATAGGATGACTATGAATGAACACTAGGATATTAGGATGACTATGAATGAACACTAAGAAAAACATAAGTTTCTGATGAACTTCAAGATAAACTAAAAATTATGCACGTAAAATATTTTTAAATCATCTTTCACTAACGCAAAATTTAACTGAAATATCTATGTAAATATAAAGTTGTAAGAAAATACAAACATCTTTCAACATCTTATGCAATAGTTAGTCTATAATAGAGGCTACTTTGGGTTAGTCGCTTGTTACCACTAATTGCAACTTTGCTAATCCAACAATATCTTCAGATTAAAATAGCTCAGTATAACAAAACATAGCTTAGAAATATTATAAAAATATTTTGTGAGATAAGTGAGATAAGATGATGCAATGTTTTCATTTGACACTGTCTTTATTTTACGTGTGATCTGAGCATAAAAATTTGGCAGCACACCAGTACTCATGTTAACAACTTGGGAATCAAGCAGACAAATTTTTGTCTGCTTGATTCCCTAGTTGTTAACATGAGTTTATTTCCCTAGTTGTTAACATGAAAATAAATGAATTACCTATTCATTTATTTTTTCAAAATAAATGAATGGGTAGCACTAACAAAAACATAATATCTCAATTATAAAATGAGTAGCTTCTCAATAAGAATTCCCTGACTGCCCAATTGAAAAAAAAAATCTCTGACTTTTTCCAGGTTGTCCATGACTAAAACCAAAATTAACTAACTTTCCAGGTTTCCCAGGTACAGTACGAACCCTGTGTGTGTATATATATATATATATATATATATATATATATATATATATATATATATATATATATATATATATATATATATATATATATATATATATATATATATATATATATATATATATATATATATATATATATATATATATATATATATATATATATATATATATATATTTATATATATATATATATATATATATACACACACACAGGGTTCGTACTGTACCTGGGAAACCTGGAAAGTTAGTTAATTTTGGTATATATACATATATATATATATATATATATATATATATATATATATATATATATATATATATATATATATATATATGTATATATATACATACTATTTCATCTGGACGTGGTTTAAAGTCGGAACTTCTTGCTTATAAATCAAGCGCTTTACCCATAGATGAGTTTTTGACTTTATGAAAATCCCGAAAATTTTTTTGAGAAAGTTTTTTAGCATTCTCTCTGTAATTTCGTGACCTTGAGACATTGGGTCGATCGCAGAGAGGCATTTTAATAAAGGGTTGTTAAAGGGTAATTTATTAAGTAAGTAAGCTGACGATTCAAGGTAAACTTTTAGCAAGGTCTTTAAAAACAATGATTTGAAATCAGGATTTCGAATAAGTATTCTTGACAAATATTTTTCAGCATTACTTCCAAGGTATATGTAGTTCGAATGGCGATACATTTTTTTATCTTTCAGGTTTAAAAACTTCAACTTTTCTCCTGTTATATTTTTTATCATCTTTGGCTTAATAAAACAAGTTAAAATTGTTTTCACTAGTTCAATTTGCTCATCATAAATTTGATGGACTAACGGTTCTTTTTGTTCAAAAGTTAAAATGAATGATTTAAAAATAGGAAGAATTTCAACGTACAAATTAATATAAAGTAATGTTTCATTACGTCGGAAAAATAAACTTTTAACAATTCTAGCTTTTCTTTCTGCACCTTGTTTTGTTAGTTTTTTCTGCTGCATTTTACATTTTATTTTTTCTATTAGTTTCTTACTTTCATTTGATAGCCTCTTTAAAATTTTGTCACTTTCATCTTTATACAGAGAGATGTCTTGTTTTGATAGCCAAGAAGAATAAATTAAGGTGAAAGCAGGCATCATCTCAAGCATAGGAAGAGTGCAATCTAAAACAGACAACCATCGATGACAAACCCTTTGCTTTGGAGTGTTGTATGTGACACCTGTGATTTGACAGATTTTTTTCAGAAATGTACGAAGATCTGGGCTATATTTAAAATCAATGTAGATATCATCCAGTAAGTTTTCAACTACCTTGCCGAAAAAAGAAGTAAATTTTTTGACAACATTATGCACATGATGACAAATATCACCATCAATATCAAGTAAGTGAGGAACCGCTTTTCTTAACCTTGTTTCAAACCCACTGATTTTTCCTCTCATATAATTGGTAGAATCTGATAAATTGGAAACAAGATTACTTAATGGAATAGCGTCTTTGTTAAATAAATGAATAACAGCATTAAAAAGACTTTCGGCATTTACCGTAACAAGCGATAATGACGCGTAGTGCTTTAATACAACTTTATTAGTTTTGTCGCAAAAATATGCTACGAGTATACTGAGAACCTTCTCATTTTTTGCCGAGAAGCACTCATCTATGTTAACGGAGAACATTTTTATTTTCATATCAAAAACAAACTCAGCATGAAAAGCTTCACCTAATCCTTCTCGAAGCTTATACGAAGCTTGTTTTTAATATTTTTGTCTATCTCGCAATTGCTTAAATGCAAACCATTTCGTATTTAAAATTTTATATAACTTTTTACAAATCAATAGCAAAAAGCATCCGGAATTTCCCGGAAACTTGATGTGAATTTCCGGAATTCCCGGAAAAAACTCATCTATGAATTTACCACTACAGCTTTATATTAAGGGTGGCTTTATATACATTTTGGTGACTCTGAAAACAACATTTTTTGAAAATATCTGCTCTCAACCCCTAAATAAATTCTATTACAATAAAATAAAACTATGTTTTAAAATTAATATAAATCACTCATTGCACGTTTTTCTTTTATACGCACATGATATTTTTGAAACAGACTCGTTTATGCTTTTACAACAAGTTTTCATCGGCACAAAAGTTTTAATAAGATATGCTTATTTCGGAGATATTAGTCATAAATATTTAAAATTTTAAGTCATTTAAATGGTTTATCTAAGCTCAACAATATTCTGATTTAAGCTTATTTTTTACAAAAACCTGAGCAAAGAGACGCTTTTAAATGTTTTGCTTTTGAAAAATAGAAAGTGTTTTTACAAATAGCATGCTTTTTTTCTTCCTCAAATGTCTATGACTTCATTTTTCTAACACTTTTTCAATAATTTTTTAACCAAAATCACTAAATTTAAATCGATTGATTCAGAAGATTAAGCAATTTAATTGTGAAAAAAAATTAACATCATTTTTAGTAATAAATATTTTGCGATCCAACAAATCTTGAAATTCAATTTCAAAACACAGTAAAAGATCTCTGAGTAATTTTTGTGTTTAAAAAATTATTTTAAATTCAATTAAAACCAATGTTAAATATAGATTATTTTCAAAATCCAAAAAAAAATTTATGGTTTATAGTTTATTTTCAAAATATAACATTTTGAAAATTTAAGAATAAATCTAAAATTAAAAACAAAACTACAGTTTTTACTTTAAATTCAACTTATAATTCAAAGCAACCGAAAAGCAACCAAAAGCAACCCAAAAGCAACCAAAAGCAAACCAAAAGCAAACAAAGCAAATCTATTTGAATTATTTTCTAGTAAATTTTTTTATTCTGCTAAGTTTGCTTTATTTTAAAAATCTGAACAAGCAGTATTGTAAAGACAACTGTTAGCAAAAAACATATTTTTAACTATTGAAAAGAAATACTAACAACAAAATACATTATTTACTGAAATATAAAAAACCACTTGATAAAAAAACATAAGATGCTATATTAAATAACACATTAGTAATTTTTCACCTTTTTTAATTTTAATTTAATTTTTAATAAACACTTCCTGTCACTAAATAATAATAATTTATTTTTATGTAAACTAAAAATGAATAATAATGATTTTTTAAATGTAAATTCACTATGATCATCATCATTGACATCATCTTGTTTCTGTACACTTGCATGGATTTGGAAGTTACTAATTATTTTTCAATATTCAGAACCTTGCTTATATTATTAGTTTCCAATTTTTTGTTATCCATTATGTTACTTTTTGTTATCCATAGCTCTTATGTTATCCATTACGCACTCTTTCCAATTTTTGATATATCTGACAAACTTTTTTTCAGAGATATTAAATTTTAAAATACAGGCATAAATGTTGATGCCCAAGCATCATCATCTTAACAATAAATATGACAAACTACTTTGACCTTTTTATCTTGATGCCTCCCTTTTCATATTTCTTAAATAATAAACACATACTAACACAACTAATTACTAATAGAGTAATCCCCTCTTTAAATACTTCTTTCTTTTCACCACAAAATTTTGTTGTTAAACAAAAGTTAAAAAGAACAAGAGAGCAGTCTGGGAGATTTATTTATTTAATATCTAGTCATAGTATATTCCTAATAGTTGCAATAAAACTTTGATTTTGAAAATATTAGGGATTTACAACCTTGACAATAAATTTAAAAAATCAACGTTTTCATGATTGCAATCTTAAATATTTTTCTTATTTGTAAATAAAATTTTTGAAATGAATTTTTTGTACTGATTTTCAAGCAGTTAAATCCAAGTTAAATCAGTTTTTAAATGCGCCACATAAAAACATTTTAGTCTTGGTTTATATACTCAATCAATAATTTTAGTCTCAGCTAATAAACCTAAATTTAGTCAGGGCCCAGGTATACAAGCATGCCATTCATAGCTACAAAAAATCAATAGTCATCTGATCTTTCCATTATTTTCATAACAATATAAATTTTAGTTAATCGTAGTACACTAAAATCATAAAATTTAAGCCAAAGCATAGATTAGAATTTTAGAAATACAAAAATTTACATAAATATATTCTAAGTATTGTTGTTATTTATTTAACATGTTTATTATATCAAGCATTTGACTAAATTACATACCCATACATAAAATGTCAATAATAAAGCTAAAATATCATAAAAACTTGTTTTTTCAATAATAAACAGCTAAATTAGCAATAAAGGTTTTATTGCTAAACTGTATACAAATTTCAAAAGAAAAATATTAATATTTAGTAAAATTTATCTTTCTATGAGCTAAACGAAATTTCATTTTTGCAGTTTGTTTTTTGAAGAAAAGTTCTATTTTATCTCCTTTATGTTGTATTTTAGCTTCTTCTTCCATATCAAAATCCCTATTTAATAGCTCAGAATGAAGAATATGAGATTTACTCAATACCTTCTTTAACTCATCTTCTGGAAACTGTTCTAAATATTTCTCATATTTACTCTTGTCAAAAACTCCTTGCTCATTTAAAAAAATTCCGCTTATTTTATTCCAATCACCAATGCTTTTATTCTCTTGAATTAGACTATCTTTTAGATGAGATAATTCTGGATTGCTTAATTGCTCATTTTGAATAATAATAGGCTGAACAGTTATAAGTTTTTTTATCATCTGCAATCTTTCATTTATTTGAGGTGTATTTTTCACAACAATCTTAGTATACCTTTTAATTAAACCAAGATCTTTTAAGCATCTTTTTTCCCAATAAGGACGCCTCATGCCACTGCCAACTAACGTTACTAAATGTAATTTATGTGGAACGTGGTTTGTAAGTTTGGCTATGTTAGCTGCCATTTTTAAGATTGTCTTGATGAGTTGAATTTCTAAAATATAAAATGCGCGGACTCTTGTGTCAACTCTCTTAATCCGACGCTGTCCGACTTCAGGTCCCCAAACAAGAAAATTATCCTTTTATTTGCATGACTACCTACCTGTTCAAACTCAAACTCCTAATCAATGATAACTCGGAGTGCTTATTCCTATTTTAGACAGTCGATGAATGGAATTTTTTTCTTCTTCTTTATTACAATCTTTATACAAATATAAGTATAATATAAAAAGAGTTATCTTACATTAATTTAAATTAAGTATATGTATTGTATGCTCTACTACATCTATCTCTTTATATCCCAATTGACTAAACCCCTAAAATCCACGTGAGTGTACCAGAAAGACGCTCAACGTCAGAATAAGGGTTTGATGACAAAACCTACCTATTAATGCAAGCAAGTAAACCAATTTATCCAAACAGATCGATATATTAAAGATTATGTAAATTTTAAAATTAAAAATGTGATTATATAAACTTTAAAATTGAAAATATGCAAGCGTAGAACTGCGGATGTAACAAAGTAGAAGGTGCAGGATCAATTCTCCTTTAGCTTACCTTTTTTTTTAATGTTTTAAAAATTTAGTTTAATAACAGCATCACAACGGACATGATTTGACTGACTTAAATAATTTATGCGCAATGGAGTGTACTCAATGGATTGATCAAATGGATTTATGATTTGTTATTGGATGGTTTAGTAGTTTTCAAATGATTTTTTTTTTTCATCAATCATTTTTAATCTTTTTAAATGAAATATATTTTAAAAAGACGTTTTTTAGAAGTTCTTTTACTCGATGCGTACCCACCACAAATCTCTAACTATGATAATGACTTTAACTTAGTTCCTTTCTGTTAAATGTTGTCCAAATAATATTGAAGACGTTTTTAGTTTTTTCTTTGTAATATCTAAAATTTTCTTTATATTTGTTTCTAATCATAAATTAATAATAAAAGAAATTTTTTACAGTTTTGTTCCTTTTTTTTTTTAAGAAACTCTTTTTTATTACTGTAGTATATACTACAATATTGTAGACTATACTACAATATATAAATTACTATAGTATTAATATTGATATATTTATATTAATTTAATAATATCCATATAAATTTAATGACCATTTTACTCTTTTTCAACTACTAGGAAATTTTCTATAACCAGTTTCTTGAATTGAATAAAACATTGAGAAAAAATAAGTTGTAAAGTTTTTGGGTGTTGTAAGATCCTTGTATGAAGAAGCTTTGTGTTTGTGTGTGTATGTGCGTGTGTGTGTGTGTGTGTGTGTGTGTGTGTGTGTGTGTGTGTGTGTGTGTGTGTGTGTGTGTGTGTGTGTGTGTGTGTGTGTGTGTGTGTGTGTGTGTGTGTGTCTAAGCAAAACGTACTGTTGTCTAGATCTAGACAACATCTAGATTGTTTTATTAGCGGACGGATTTTTACAAAATTTATTAACTAAAAAAATTTATTTGGTTGAGTCCGAAACAATATGGCGGGTCGTGAAAGAGTGGCTTCGTTCAAAAAAACCAATGTCCAACTAGATCAATCAGCGTTTCTGCCAGCCAAAATCCCATCAGTAATTCTCAAATTAAGTGGAGTCTCTTCTAAAATAAATAGAGATCTTTTTAGAAAAGTTCTTCAAGGCATGGTATTAATTTCAAGTTTTAAACACTGACTATCAATTAATTTCGTTCAATATGTTTTATTTGTTAAAAATTTTTAGTTGTTATAAAAGACATTGAAGGAAGTGTCATTATTACAGAGGATATATTTGGTAACCTTAAATCTTTGTTTGAAAATGTTATTACAGAGGATAAGTTTTTAATACTTTATTCTGGTGTACTTTTGTTAATGCGTTATGCTCTCAGACATCCTCAAGGATCTTTAAAAAAAGAGTCATTTATTTTGGAGCTAAACGAACTTAGGTTTACTTTTATCTATATATTATTTTTAAATTTTCTTTTTATTTAAAATAATAATGAAATTGCTTATTTTACATTAAAAGCTATGATTGTTTTTTTGTGTATGAAGGGAGACTTCCTTCATACTCTAACCCAAGCTATAACGCAAACCCTTAATAAATGCAGCATCACTCCATTGAAGATTCTTCCTTGATTGACAGTTAATTTTTGTTCTGAAACCCTCACAGTTACCTATTTAAGTATGTCATTACTCAGCTAAATATGCAATATGCCAAAACATCAGTCGATGTAACGACTTTGCGATAGCAGGTTGTAAATATTTGATGTATGTACTGAAGCCCCTAGCAGCATAATATTTCATTAGGATGTCACCATGCTTATCTAAATATACATTTATAGTTGTATATATGTATATATATATATATATATATATATATATATATATATATATATATATTTAATATATATATATTTAATATATATATATATATATATATATATATATATATATATATACATAAAAATTTTTTATTTTAAATTATAAATCTTAAAAACACATTTACAATCAGTTAAATAAAAGAAATCTAACATAATTCATTAAGTGGGGGGATGCCCATTGATACCAAGATGTGTCAGGGCATGTCCCCCTTCCACCTTTTTTACCTATTTTTTTCTTTTTTTTTTCTTCAGTCACATAGCTAAAATTTTTCAGTCACATAGCTAACATTTGCTAATGTACCAGCCCCAGTTATTCTTTTTGGATATTGAGTTCTTCCTCCTAGTGTCCTTCGAGGTGTACAGTATAATTTTGCAGCTCGCTTGCAACTCAATTGGCCAGCTTTAACTTTATGCAATGGCTTTTTTCATTAGCTCTTCGCTATAATTGGTGAAGGATTTTCTCTTGTAGTTTTGTGGCATTGTTGCTGATAATTGATCGATTTAATTAATTTAAATTGATTATAAGAGACCAATATGACCTGAGTAATTAACTATCCAAACAAAAGAAGATGGAGGTGATAATAATTATCCAATCAAAGTGCATACTAATTATTTTTTGACTTTTTTTATTAAATGTTTTCCTAAATTATTTTAATTATATATATTAATTAAATTATCCAATCAAAAGTGCATAAGACCAACATGACCTGATAAATTAATTAACAAAACAAGAGGAAGGGAAATAATATTAAATAGGTTCTTTGAAAAATTTCCAGTATTTTAGTCTTTTAAATTTTGAATGGAAATAAATAATTTGATTTTTATGAGAATTTTAAATCTTCAGCTTAAAAGATTTTGTGAAACAAAATCTTTTAAGCTGAAGAGGCTGGTCACAACAATCCAGCGACAATTTCTTTTAAAAAATAAAAAAAATAAATTTAGTATTAAGAGAAAATCGTATTTATTGATGTTTATAAAATAATAATAATAATAATATATATATATATATATATATATATATATATATATATATATATATATATATATATATATATATATATATATATATATATATATATGTATATATAGACAGATATATATATATATACTTACTAAAGGGTATTTTTATAAGCATTTGCTCACTTTTTTTGCTTACCTTAACCAATACAGCTTTTTTAGAAAAAGAAGAAAAAAACAAAGAATGATGAATGAAATGATTGCTGACCCATCCCACACCCTCAGTCGATGTAGCAGCACTCCACTGCGAGTCAGTCTATTTGTCAGTCGATGTATGTACTGAAGCCCCCAGCAGCAGGCTATTTCAGTATGATGTCAGATTGCTTACCTTAATACGCAATACTATTTGTATATTTATAGATATATAGATATAAATATAGTCAGCAAAATTCATAGGATTTCAGATCGGCACAAGTGTGCCGACCAAAAAAAAAAGGATTTTTTGGTTTCTGCTACAATAGGGGTAATTTTTAGTTTTGAAGTTATTTTTTTTACAAAAAAAAAATGGTTTATATCTTAGTTTATTTATTACATTTTGATTGGTTTTTTAGATCGCTCATAGAAAGAACATCATTTAGAAATACAAATTTAGTTAATGTGCTGTAGGCAAATGAGTAGACAGTAAACATCTGGTTATTTAACCTTAACAAGAAATTAGCATTTATTTCTCCATTAGTAGGGGTGGTGATTTTCAATATTTTATTGTAGTATAGTATGAATTTGTAACTATGTAAATTGATGGAGGGAAAACAAAAGTTAAAAATACTAAAAATAGTTTTTTTCTTATATGAAAACATTGTTTTGAGTTAGCTTATACAGTAAGCTAACTCAAAACAATGTTTTCATATAAGAAAAAAACTATTTTTAGTATTTTTAACTTTTGTTTTCCCTCCATCAATTTACATAGTTACAAATTTTTACTATACTACAATAAAATATTGTGTATACTGTTGTGTCTGTTGCAATTTAATGGAAGCCTAAACTTTTATTAAATTAAAAAAAAGTTTTGTAACTAATGTTTCTTCTCCGCATGTTTCTAACATAACTATAACAAGGCTAAACTTTCCTAATATACTTTCTGATCTTAAATAATTCTAAAAAAACCGTTAACACGTAAATTATTTAATTAGTTATATATCTTAATAAAATAATAATTGCACTTAAAAACCACGAGAACAACAGGCATTTAAAAAGTAATATTTTTCAACTTTGCTATGGTTGAATAAAATAGAGAAAAAAAAAATGAATTGAAAAAAAATGAATAAATATTTGTTTTGATAAAACATGTCAAATTTGAAAAGCAAGTAATTACAATAAAAAAATTATAAAATAATATTTAATGAATATTAGATATTTTTTACATGTATTTCAATTTGCATGCCGACACTTTAGAATATTCAGGTCTATATATATGTATATATATATATATATATATATATATATATATATATATATATATATATATATATATATATATATATATATATATATATATATATATATATATATATATATATATATATATATATATATATATATATATATATATGTGTGTGTGTGTGTGTGTGTGTGTGTGTGTATGTATATATATATATATATATATATATATATATATATATATATATATATATATATATATATATATATATATATATGTATATATATATATATATATATATATATATATATATATACATATATATATATATATATATATATATGTATGTATATATATATATATATATATATATATATATATATATATATATATATATATATATATATGTATGTATGTGTATATATATATATATATATATGTATGTATATATATATATATATATATATATATATATGTATGTATGTGTATATATATATATATATATATGTATGTATATATATATATATATATATATATATATATATATATATATATATATATATATATATATATATATATATATATATGTATGTATGTGTATATATATATATATATATATATATATATATATATATATATATATATATATATATATATATATATTCGTTATACTTATTAACTATAGAATTGCTACTTTTTTTTTTTAATTATGTGTTTGATGTATCAGTACATTTTTTTAAATATTTATCGCATATTTTTATAAACACTATTCACCAAATCAACTTATATTTATATAATATATTTTATCTAATATATAATACTTTTTATTTTCTCAATTTCTACACTATTCCATATTGTATTTGATACACAGTTTTATCCAGGGCTGTGAAGTCGGAGTTTAGGAGTTGCGACAATTTTAGCGGAGTCGGAGTCGCTAAAAAAAATTGCAACTCAGACTCCTATTGTAAAATTTCTCGGTATTGCACATGCAATTACAAAAGATTTAATTAACCTTATGTTCATACTAAACCTCAAAGAACATTTCATAAATTTGTCCAAAATAAAAAATTTAACTTATCGCGTAATATTTTTGAAAAAATCCAAAGAATTTTTCAAAAATTTTGCTTTGGAGTTGGAGTCAGAGTTGGAGTCGGAGTTGTACTCAAAAATTTCAACACCTGGAGTCGGAGTCGTAACTTTTTTTTTACGACTCCACACCCCTGGTTTTATCAATACTTTATTTCTTTATATTTTCTCAATTCATAGTTTACTTGTTTTAAAATGTTGATTGTTTTAAGATGTTTTTAGATTTTACTAGGATCTCTTAATTAGCTTGAGTATAGTGTTTTATTACTTTATTATAATTTTGTTTTAGCTTCATTTTTGATTTCTCGAATGTTACTGATCATTTTATTTGCCATTTCATTAACATTTGGTTTCTTTCTGTCTTCATCATTTATTTCAATTTCATTTTTTAGGATTATTTTCTCTTGTAATTTATTATAATCCTTATTGTAATAGAGTATAGTAGTTTTAGATTTTACTATCACATTTTTTTTAACTTCAATATTATATTAGCTTGCATAATCTGAGATCTAAATGACTTAGAATTATCTAGGAAAACTTCAGAAGGAGGTCCAAGTGATAACCATATTTTTTCTTATAATGGAACAATTATTGTTGTACTTTCGTCACTCTATGGTGTTCATAACTTGAATCTGCTTGGGCCACAATCAATACAGCTGATATAGCAATGAATCAACATGAGTAACATCACAGCCTACTCTCTCCCATAATTGACTGACAACAAGATTTTCTTTATCCCACAAAATCACATTCATCACATTCAATTTTTGTTAAGGTGGATACCAGCATGTGTAGATAACTTCATATTCTTGGAAACTTCCATTTGTACTATTGAATAAATTTTTTGAATTTGCTGATTATTGTACTTATAAATGATATTACATTCTTGCATTGTAACTTTATTTTTTATCCAATTTATTGGCACTTTTCTGAGTTCATCTGCAATATGTTTTGTTGTTGCTACCCAATTAACATTTACATTTATGGCATAATCCTCAGAATTTAACCAACTAAATACACTATGAGAATCAGTTTTAATAAAGACATCACTTGGGTTCCATTTTAATGCCATATTTAAAACTTTAATACATCATCCAATTCAGTTATGTTAATATGCATACCATCAGGTTTTGGTCGGAGCCATGTCGCATCTTCTATTTTTTTGTCACCTTGCATTATCACAAATTCTTTTTGCCAGAGAACTTGCATCACACCATACGGTTAAAGATGGATTTGGTTTAACATTCCTGGCACCTTTTGCCAGATCACATTTTACAATTTTATCTACAACATCCTGCATCATTTTAATTACATACTTATTTGTAATAGGTTCTTCCCAACCTGCTTTATTTGTCTCTTTACATAGCTGCGTGTGAGTCTCATCCAATAAGCAACTGGTAGATTAGCAACCAGATTACCACATAATGAGAATGTATGCCTTATGGTGAGCACACTTTTAGTAATAGAAATCTTGTTTCCTCTTTTCCAAAACATTTCCTTTGTTAATGGATTTACTGTTACTTCTAATCCTAGTGCACAAACTGGGTTTTTGCCAAAATATTCAGGTGTTTTTCGTGAAAACCCTATTTCTTTATGTGCCGCAAGCTTTCTTCCATTTCCATTAGTTACTAAGGTGTTATCAATTTATCCTCTTGTTGATTTTGCAGAATTTTGTTGGAGAGCATATTGCAGTATTGAGCTCATCATCACGGGTGCTAAGTTCAAACCAAAGCTCAACTGTGTAAGCGCATATCGCTGATTTCTGTTAATGACAGTTTGGTAAGTCCAATGTCTTCTATGTACATGAATTTGTAGGTATGCTTCCTTTAGATCTACCACCGAGTCATTGCTATTATTACTCATGAGTCTCGAATCCCTCATTGCATTGTTGATGACATCTGCATCTCTTGAGGCTTTTACATAGGTGTTAAGCTCGCAATAATCAAGCACTGGTCTTGTCTGCTTTTTATTATCTTCAATGATGCACATTTGCGGTAGTAAACCTTTAGCTTTTCCCATAATTTCATTGTCATATTTGATGAGTATGCCTTCTTTGATCCATTCATTTATTTTGTTGTTGAACACCTCACAATGTTCGGCAGATACATTTTACTGACTTGTTCTGTTTTTCATTTTGGGTTTGTTCTTTCACTCTCAACTTAGAATTCATTTTTTACCATCAAAATAAGCTTTGCTTGTTCCAATTTGAATTGTTGCAACATAAGGTGTCAATGACAATATATATAATCCACATGGATTGGTTTGGTGAATTTAATGCCAACCCTAAAATCTACTTTCCTACTTATGCTCTGAGTAACGAACTATCAGCTATAATAATATAAAATAAAAGTTTTTAATGCCTAAATTGCCTTATTAAGATTAACTGAAATTATTTTTCAGTAAATTATTTAAATAATAATGTAGGGTTTTAAATATTTACTGCCTTATTTTATGTAGTGGGTACAGTATAATGAACAAATCAAGAAAGAGGGAGCCAACCATACCTTTCTCTTTTTAAAATTTGACTTATAATTGGTTGCACCTCTCTCATAGTAAATAGCAGGCTGAGGGAGATTTGTATGTCACATAATAAAAATCTATTATTTCAGTTTATGAGCACAATAATTTATTATTGTGCTCATAAATTGACCAATTTTCATTGAAAACCAAAGCAATTTTTTTATATTTATGTTGTGATTTCATAATTCAAGATGTTTTTAAGCATTAATACTGTATTTATTTAAGTTTAAGCACTTACAGACATTTGTTCGTAATGCTATGCACATGGAATTTTTTCATTTATGTAATTTAAGTAACATATCATTATTAATTTAAATATTTGTATATAAATTTACTACATTTCATATAAAAAAGAGCTAAAAGACCTTTTCTTGCCATTAACCTGGCTTTAATGGCTGCCAAGTGTTTCATGCAAACATGGATGAGTGGGCACTATATTCTATTATTAAGTTTAATAGTATAAATTGGATAATAATATTAACAATAGTAATAATATTATTATTGTTATTATCATTATTATTATTATTGCTATTATTATTTTTATTGCTATTATTTTATTATTATTATTGTTATTATTATTATTATTATTGCTATTATTATTTTTATTGCTATTATTTTATTATTATTATTGTTATTATTATTATTATTATTAACAACAATAATAGCAGTAATAATAAAAAATATTATTACTTCAGAATTAAGTTACTTTATAAATAAACTACATAATTAGTAATTAAAAAGAAAAAATTTTTTACATTTTTGATTTTATATTTATAGACTAAATAAAGAACACATAGAAGATATTTGCAGTGTTGTTTTCACAACAAAGTAAATCTTTTTTTTTTTTCAATTTAAAATGTTTTTGCACTATTTTTCATATAAGTATTTTATTGTTTGTTTTTCTGTTTTTAGACAAAATGCAATTGAAAAAAAGTTTTCCAGTTTTCAACTGCCTTCATTAATATCTTTACGATGGAGAATAGATGTCACAATATCTACAAGGTTTGTTTTATAAAACACTTGGCAATCACAGAGTTTCCATAACTGTTTAAATTATCAAAATCTTTTATTTGCTTTCTTTTTAATTTTTTGAATAATCCATTATCCAGAAAATTCAGAAGAAATAAAGGATTTTAGGGTATAATTTAAAATTATTGGTGCTCCCAATTTCAGGATTGCTACAAAGTATAAAACACAAGATAAGTAAAAAAATTTTCAAAAAAAAAAAAAAATGCATATATATATATATATATATATATATATATATATATATATATATATATATATTTAAAATCAAAAATCAAATTCTGTTTTATCTTTTTTTAAATTTTAATGCTTAAGTTTTGCTACTTCTTACTAAATGGCAACATAAGCAATTTAAAATGATTAAATGTCATTGTAGTTTTTTAGTTTTTTTTTTTAATTTCATAAATTAGGAAAGAAATGTTTAATGTTAAAGCTTTAAAATATTAAAAAATTATTGCTGTTTGTGTTTACTGAAGACCATAGCCATAGAAGTAAATTTAAACTTTTGTCAAAGTTTTTTTTGTGCTAGATACTGAAGACTATAGTCATAAAAGTCAATTTGTTGATAAATTGTTTTTAAAAGTTGAGTCAATTGATAAATATTTTTACCTATAATAATATGTAGAGGTATTAAAACAAGTTACAAAAACTTAAAGAAAACAAAATATAGCTTAACTAGTAGAAATAAACATTAATTAAATAATTTATAAGTTATTACTAACAATATTTACCTATTAGTCAGCCATTGTGTTGCAAGATGCACATTAGAGAACCAAACACTTTTTACGCAAAATTAAATAGCTTAACAACTTTTACAAAAAGCCTGTACTAAAAGTATACCATCACAATTTTCACAAAAAAAGACAAAAGTAGTTGTAATATTTTTTTATTAATAAAATAAGCTTTTATCAAAATCTTTTTGCTATTGTGGGGCAGATGAAGCTCTGTTTTGTGAAGGCTACTTATCTTCCACTGACAAGGTTCCACTTTGTGAAGGCTACCCATCCAACTATACTAACGTAGGACTATAGGCTTAAACAAAAATTATCTTTATTCTTTAAATAATTCCCTTTCAATTGCGCAGGTTAACCTATTATTAGACATTCTAATCACTCCAGCTTCCGTTGCTAAAGTCATATCTCAGTTAAACTCTTCTACGGCTTGTAGTTCAGAAAACATGCCTGTCATAGTCTTACAAAATTGTTCTCCAGAACTCTCTTTAATTCTCCAAAGTATTTAATAAATGCTTACTCTAAATTACTCTAAAGTATTTAATAAATGCTTGACTGAGTCTTGTTTTCCTGCCTGCTGGAAAATAACATCTGTTGTTTTTATATTTAGAACATTTTGACACTTCCAATTATCTTTCAATCAGTCAACTGAAAGAAAGAAACCTGACTATCTGATCAGTCTTCTCTTTGTTATTAGCAAGGTCTTTGAGTCTTTGATCAACAAATTTCTCAGATCTCATCTTGAATCAAATAACTTACTGGCAGACAATCAATTTCCAATCCTCTTGCTCTACAGCTGACTTGCTAACTGCTGTGACTGAAAGATTTTATTGTGCATTAGATGTAGATGGCTAGGCTAGGGCTATTGCTCTTGACAATTCTAAAGCTTTTGACAAAGTTTGACATGCTGGCCTTCTCCATAAGTTTGTTTCATATGCTGACCTTCTCCATAAGTTTGTTTCATATGCTGACCTTCTCCATAAGTTTGTTTCATATGGTGCATCTGAAAAAGATTTTGAGATTATCAAATCTTTCTAACCGCTTTATTAAAGTCATTTTTGAAGGCCAACACTCTTCATTTCCAATAATTTCTGGGCTACAAGGTTCTATTCTTGGTCCTGTTTTGTTTCTTATCTACATTAATGATCTTCTTGACAACCTTACATCGAAAGTAGCTCTTTTTGCTGATGATTGTTTACAATGACTTTTCATGGAAACCATATATACAATCAATTGCTAAATTAGCATCTACTAATTTAGCAATTGCTTCTATTTATCATGCTTGCCATTATCTCTCCTGACTCCATTCTCTACCTCTACAAATCTCATATTCATCCCTGTATGGAGTACTATTGTCATATTTTGGGCTGATTCTTTTAATGATACTCTTTATCTTCTTGATAAGGTCCAAAAATGCATTGTAAATGTAGTTGGACTCGCTCTATCTTCTAAGCTTGAACCCTTTTTCATTGTCGTAAAGTTGTATCTCTTTCTCTTTTCTACAACTAATATCATGGTCACTGCTCAAAGGAGCTATCATCTCTAGTTCCATCAACTAAAACTCATTCTTGCTTGACTCGTCAATCAGCAAAGTCTCATTTTTTTACTGTATCTGTCCCTGCATACTCTAAAAACTTTTATTTGTCTGGTTTTTTTTAATGCAAATCAACCCTTTGGAACTTTTTTCCATCTTCATGTTTTCCTTACTCATACAATCTTCAACTTTTCAAGTCTTCTGTCAAATGTTTCTTTGCTCTATAACTCTATTCTTTTTTTTTCTAGTAACTCCCAACTTAATAGTGGTTGCTTGCTGCCTTGTGTTGGGAGTGAATCAGAATTTAAAAAAATTCTCATGAAAACTTTTATATTTATTTTTTACATTCAAGTTTTTTTTTTTTTTTTTATATATTTTCAAATCAGTTATAAGTAAAACTAGTTCAAAAGCTTTCAGCCAAATAAACTTTGCTTACTTTACAATTTAAACAAGGCTAACTTGGTAAAAATTGCCAAAGATTAAACGATCTACAGGCCCTAGCTAGTTACTAGCTACAACTCATTAAAATGGTAAGTTCAAATGCAGTAAAAAAAACTTCAAGAGATTTGGGTCAGTTGGGTTTTAGTATATTGAACTATACACTCACAATGTTTAGGTTTTAGTTGGTTTGTTGATAAAATTAAAGCAAAGTTTAAATGGTTAGAGTTTTTTTTTAGGTTATGTTTTAAGACCTAATCTATTAACAGCTTTATTAATGTGTAGAAATTAAGCTTATGTTGTTCAAACTTATATGTAATTAAAAAAAGTTTTCCAGTTTTTACCTTTATTATTATCTTTACGATGGAGAATAGATGTCACAATATCTAGAAGGTTTATTTTATAAAACACTTGGCAATCACAGAGTTTCCATAACTGGGTTGTTTTTTTGTTTTTTTTTTAATTTTTTTTTACTTATTTTGTGTTTTATGCTTTGTAGCAATCCTGAAATTGGGAGCACCGATAATTTTAAATTATACCCTAAAATCCTAATGGATTATTCAAAAAATTAAAAAGAAAGCTTTATTTGCTTTCTTTTTGAATAAGTTTTTTTTTGAATAAGTTTTTTTTTGAATAAGTTATCCAGAAAGTTCAGAAGAGTTGAAAGATTTAAAGATGTAATTTATAATTATGGGTGCTTCCAAGTGCAGGATACAAGTCTGTGGTACAAAAAATATTTATAAATGTTTTTGTACCACGGGGCAAGATCAACAGTTATGTTTTTATGCTACTAATCAATTTTAAAATACATTTATTGAATTTATTATTTATTGTCGGTTATTAACAAAAATTTCAATAAATTTTGTTTATTAAATGAGTTGTAAAAAAATTGATGTCCATAATAATTTATTTCTAATGCTATTTGAATCAATACCATTTCAACTACTTTAATGTTCCATGGTTCACTGATGAACCAAGTTACATGATTCATTGATGAACTAATTCCATGGTTCACTGATGAACCAAATTTCATGATATATGCTTTATCCATTTTTGGTCAATAAAGTGTTCGGTTGCACGCAACCACAAAAATAATATTTTGTCTTGATGATCACAGCTAATAACATGTTTTAAAAATATGAACATTTAAAAAATGCGCTGTAAAGTAAGCGCTAGTAAATAGTTATGCATTAAAAAAATATATAATTTTTGTTTAATTATTTCATGCTTTGTTTAAACATACGTTTAAAATACATTCATAGATAGTAATACATAATAAAGGTAAAATATTTAAATCTTTAAAATGCTTTTATGATAAAAAATTATATAAATAAAAAAACTACATATATTATATATAAAATTTTATAATAAAAAATCATTAGAAGTAATTTACTTTATTTAAAGTAACAAAACATTTCAATTATGTAAAAACATCAGTGTTTTACTTTACTAAGGCTTTCAGAAACATTTCCCTTTTCTTTTCAACAAAATTTGCCATAAAAAAATTATTTTAGAAGTGAAATTCTACAACAATAATGCAACTAGATTGCAGAAAAGAAATTAAAATAATTAGCTCAAAAAAAATAATCTAACAAATATGTTAAAATTTTTTCCCAATGCATTCAATCATTGTACTATTCGGTAAAGCTTCTCCTTCAGTTGTTGAGACACAAAGAATTTTATCAAAAATATAATATTTTATTCAGTTTCTATTACCAAAATTCCTGCTCCTCTTTGGAAATCCAAAAATTAAAAAAAATTATCCATAAAAGTTTTGAAATAAATTTTTAAATTGAAAATTTTTCTGCCCTTGATTACTCTTTATTTTCATTTTTTAACATGTTTATGTATTACACATGTTTATATTTATGTATTGAACATGTTTGTGTGTATAGGGTTTATAATTTTTTTTTATCTAAATTGGTTTTCTCTAACCCCTAAATGTGTTCTGTAAAATGACACTGGATTTCTAAAATTAGCTTGTAGAAGTTACTTTTAAGGGTTGTTTAAGATCTGAGTCCCTAATAATGAGTACCTGTGTCTCAAAAGAAGCAAAATTTTGAAATAATTAAAAAAAAGGGAAATTTTCAAAACCTTTTAAATCCATTAATATATTAAGGGTTTTAAAAGTGTGTTATTTTAAACGAACTTGTTTTTGTAGTGTATTAAACCGTGTGCTTCAACCCACTATTTTAATGCAGATAAAAGATAGCAATGGAAAAATGTTCACATTTGAAGTAAGTTATTTTTATACATTAGTAATAAATGATGCCTGGTGAGCAGTGTTCTTGAAATCAAATTAAACCTATTTTTCTGTGAGAACTGTGGTCTTGAAACCAAATCAAACCTACTTTTCTGTGAGAACTGTGTATTTAGTGTTGGATGTTTACAATATAAACATTACAACAGTACAAATATCCAACACTAAATAAACAGAAAACTTTAGCAAAAAAAAACAAAAACAGCAGTGAGTTTTTTTCATCAGTAACAACTCCAGCAAATTTATGTCGTGCAATGGTTTCAGGTTCATATCTTTAAATTCAATTTTTTTATATTCAAACTTTGAGTTTTTTTGTTGTTGACATTATTATTACTTTTTAGTAAAAAGATAGTCATAAAAATGCAACATAATATAACTCAACCGAGATATTAAAATCTACTAAAGAATGCCAAAATGTTTGTAGGATTTTGAAAAAAGAACAATTCTATATTTTTTTTTATAATTTATTACTATTTTAGAAACAATAATATACTGATCAAAAGTTAAATTTAATAATTTGAATGAGGAAAATTCATCTTATCTGAACCTTACAAAATAATAGCTAAACTCTGCGTTTGTTTTGATTGTGACAAGCACTGCCTCGCTTTGAAAAATCTCTATTCAATAATTATGTTTATTCGGCAAAAGCATTAATTTTCATTAGTACTTTTTGATAACTTTAGAAACATTGGCAATAGTTTATTTAATTAGTATTTTTCTTTCTGTCAACGTAATAATGAGCTTAAAGATATTATCAGACTTTGTTTGCCTTTTTGCACGTTTTTGTTATGTGTTTAGGGTAGGATGAGGTTAAAATATGTTGTTTTATTTAAGACATACTTTTTATTTCATTTAAAAATTAAAAAAATAAAAGAAAATACGATTCTTAAAAATCAACCGTCAAAGCAGCTGTACAAAGATTTTTATTTCTATTATAGGTATCTTATGCGAAATTTCATGAACTAAGATATAACATTGCTTCTCTTCTTAAAGAAATGGAAGATTTGGAAAAAAGAAGCGTTTTAAGAGTCGAACACTAACCCGATAATATTTTACACACAATCCTAAACCATTAATCCTTGATTACATAGTTGTTAAATTTCTTTTATAATATGCTCTAATTAATAAAATGATTTATATTTTTTTTATTTTTCAATATAAATTTGCAAAGTTAAATGTTTTAAATATAGTGTATGCTATTTTCAGTTAGGTTGTTTCTTATTGTTAATAATATTTTTATTACAGTGGCAAATCCAAAAAAAGAATAACGTAGTCGGTGATTCCTCTTCATTTCGATGTACATTGTAGATAAATAAAGTTAAGCAGATTCATCTGTCGATATTTGACATTCAGTCTTTATAAGCTCTGACAAAACCACCCCACATCTTGACTACCATCTGGATCTGCCACTTACTGAACTTTATCGTAGAGTAAATAGTTTTAATTTATAGCCTTTATGTTATTGTAATAAAACATTCAATTGCGTTAATTTTATTACTATAAAAACTTTAGTTGCTAGCATTTTAACCAATTGCACTTTTATAAATTATTCTAATATGATACTATTCACGAAGCGTACAACTTAAATATTTCTCTAAAAAATAACAACAGCTGCAAATAAACTGGATTAATCTCTACATTAAAAGTTGCCATCTTTGTTTACAGTTAAGCAAAAGTAGAAATGGACGCGCATAATGGTTCAATGTTGATAAATATTCATTGTATTGGTGGTGATTACTTTGTTTGGGATGCAGAACATGTTTATGAGCTTCGGATGAAACATAGAATTTGTGGCGCTTTAGTTGGTGCATTATCTCGAAAGCCATGGCAGACCAGCGTTAATTCTATGCCTTTAATGTTGATGCCAGAGGAAGTTTATTTGTGTTTAAGCGAAGGCTTTGCTAAATTACTTTTTAATGAAAGACAAAATGATGTAGCTGTTTCTAACGACTGCGACGTAGACGCTTTTTGGAATAAACGAAACGCAATGGAACTTGAACAAATTCTTCTTTTTAAAAAACGCAAGATTGAAAAAGAGCAAATGTTTTATGGAAACAATAAAAAGTTAAATAGAAAAAAACGTAAAAGATTAGTACATGAATGTCAAAATGTGGATGAACTTTGTTGCGAAGGAAACGAAGCAAGTCCTAAGATTAAAGAAAACCAGTCAGAAATAGTTTCTTTAGATATTTGCAAAAGTGAATCTTTTCAAATAGATACAAATAACGTAAACGTTGATCAAAAAATCTTAAAATCGAATGAAAAAGAACAAATTTGTGACCTTAATGTTACTGATGACGATATTGAATATTATCACAATTCAGTGCGAGTTCATATACCTACAACACTCAAAAATCAATTTGTTTTTGAGAAATCAATGAGTTTTCCTTCTAGTTCGAAAGATAATTCGCATAACCTTGTGTTTCAATACTTTTGGAAAAAGGGTTATTTTCTTACATCAGCAGCAAAATTTGGAGGTGATTATTTAGTTTACCCAGGTGATCCTTTGAGGTACCATTCTTTTTTCATAGTTCTTGTTAAAGATTGCGAAACTGGATTTACACCAAAAGAATTAATTAATTATGGTAGATTAGCTGCTTCAGTTAAAAAAACAGTTGTACTCACACATGTTGACACTGATAAAAATGTTAAATGTATCTCATTGGAATGGTCGTACATGAAATAAAATTTTATTAAAAACTAAAGAGAAGAATTACAAAAATTTTTTTTTTACTATTTTCCAAACCGTTGAAAATGGCAATCGGCCTAGTTTTAGAAATTCTTGAAATGTTATTTCTGAAGCTGCAAACTCGGGTGTAAACGCGACTTTTTTTTAGAAAAAAAAATAATTAAATGCATCTTCGGCCATACTAAAGTAGATTATTTAAAGACCTGTTGCTGCATTGAAGCCTATAATCTTAAGCCATAAACTATTTTAGCAGAATTAATTCTGCTAACAATAACTAATTCATGTAAACAGTTTTTTAGATTGTATTGCAAAAACTACAGTTTTGGTATTAAAAATGAAAAAGTCAAATTTAACAAGTTATTTGATAATATCTTTTTTATATTCAGTGGTGAGCAAAATAAAAGGTAATTGTTAAAATAAATGTTATTATGTTAAATAATTTGACTTTTCGTATAAAAGAAGTAAATGATAATAATCTAATTTATTTAATTAGTTATTTTACAATTAATTTAACTATTAACTAATTTTAAATGTAATGAAACGATTAGAAAACAAAAAAAAAACTTTATTTACTAGTCTATATAATTAGATTAATTTTACAAATATCTACTTTGCAAAAAAAATAGGTAAATTAAAATTAAGTGCATATTAAAATATTATTAGAAATAATGAAAATAATAATATAATATTTAATTAACTTATGATTTATTAATATTTGGTTGTACGCCCTTTATTCGCAATTATCGCCGCACATCTTTTCGGCATAGTATAAACTAATTTTTGGCATGTACTTATTGGAATGTTTTTCAAAATGTATTGTATGTTTTTCCAATTCATTTTTTACGTGTGCCCGTATGTTTTCTTTTGGATTTATGCCTGGTGATTGGGCTGTTCACTTCAAGATCAGAATTTTCTCGTTACGAATCCAATATTTTACTACCTTCACAGTATGCTTTGGGTCATTATCTTGTTGATAGACCCGACCCAAAGGAAGATTTTCTCCGAATGGTAACATAACATCCTGCAGTATATTTAAATATATATTTCTTTGGCCATATTTTCTTTAATCCAAAAAATAGGGCCTACTCCAAAATATGAAAAGTATATTTTTATATTATGGAGTAGGTAAACATCACCATGTTTAACTGTTTTTACGTTATATCTAGGACCATATTCTTTTCCTTTTTTTTTTGGACATTTTTTTAGTGCGCCCGACTCAAATAAGTTAATTTTGGTCTTATCTGACCAAACAATATTTCGCTATTTTGCCAGCCTACGTGTTCCCCAGCAAAATCTTTCCTATTTTTTATATTATTTGGTGATAAAATTTGACACTTCTCTGGTACCTTGGCTTTAGCATATTGTTGAGTAAGCCTTTTTCTAACTGTCAAAGCATCAATTGACAGACCAAAAGTAGTTTTTTTTTTTTTTTTTTTTTTTTTGACATTACAAATGGATTTCTTTTGGAACAATGAACGATATTTTCATTCCTTCTAGACGTTTTTCTTTTTCGGCCACGTGTTTTGGGTGTATTTTCTTTTTTAATTGCGTGGCATGCTATATTAATTGAACAGTCCGTTTGAGATTTCTTTTGAAGTCTTACCCTGGTTTCAAAAATTTTTAATTAAATTTCTTCTATCATCCGAACAATATACGTAACGCCCCATTTTTCCTAAAAAAAAAATTTTTTCTTAATTCAACAAATTTCATAGTAATTATTAACAAAATTTATCTTTTAGCTAAGTAAATTAATAATTATTGTAAATAATTTAAAATATACTTTAGCTATTATTTTGCACACCTTAAATAAAAGTATTCAAGAAAAATCAAATAAATACACGCTCAAATTTGTTTGTGCATCACCAGCAAACAACACAATACACATCAGAAAGTGAGGTTAGAAATACCTGTATAATTTCCGTGTTTATGTCAAGCATATATATAAACAGTATCGGACAAAACAAGTGCAACCAAGTAATGCTAATTTAGTTTCTTTATATAAAAGTGCTCCATTTTTTTAATTTAAAAAAATAACTATGTAAATGTTTAGAGACAACGTTCTTTAAGTTTTATTTATCACAAAAATCATTATTTGTACACGAAAATTAATAAATTAATCAAAAGTATTAATCGTTGTCTTGCTGAAAAACCCATTTTATTGACATATTCCATTCAGCATGAGGTAGCATAACATCTTTCAGGATATTTTTATACATGAAACGGTCTATTATTCCATCGATTCGATGTATTGGACCTAGACCGTTAGCGAAAATACACCCCCATACTATTACATTGCCTCCACCATGCTTCACGGTCTTATGGCAGTAACGTAAATCGAGGCGTTTTCCGGCCGGTCGACGTACTCGGCAAATGCCATCGCTCTCAATGATGTTGAACTTCAATTCATCACTGACCAGGACAGTTCGCCATTTCTGCACATTCCAGTCAATATGAGATGTTGCAAACAGGAGTCTTTTCTTATAAAAATAATCCGGCTTCAGCAGCACGTCGTCTGATTGTTTGGTCCAATACAGACAGCTATAATTGCTTTTGTATCTCAACTAATAATATCCAGGGATCCTTCCTGACGGATCTGACGATCATAGAATCCTCTCTAAAAGTGGTGGAACGCGGTCTTCCATCTTTGTTATCTGCTTCCAACTTCCCCGTGGAAAGATATTGGGAATATAGTCTTGATACGGTCCATTTTTTTACTCGATATTTATTGCAAATACGTAATCGCCAATAATTTCTTAATTGCAATCCAAGACTGTCAGAAGCCACTTTTGCACTTGAAGTCATAAAAATAATAAAAATAAATAATCACGCTTCTCAAGGCTTACCGTGTTGCATTTACCTTGTGATGATACAATAATGCTCTGTGGAACACAACGTCTTGGTTGGATGTGGACTGTATTGATGTAATGAAACACTTGTTATATTTCACTTCTTGTATTGATGTTTTTCGATAAAACACTTTGATAAAACTCACTTCGATAAACTGTCTTAATAATACTGACTGATTGACTTCCATATACTGAGTGAATTGCATGTCGGTTTACATGTCTCTTATATAGTAAAATGAACCTGTGTGAATCTGTTCTAAAAGATTCTAGATGATTCTTTTCGATGCTTCTGGAAGCTTCTGGATGCTTCTGAATGTTTCTGGATACTTCTGGATGCTTCCAGATGTTTCTTCTGTAAACTTCTGGAAGCTTCTGCATGCTTCTGGAAACCTCTGGATACTTCCTTTAATTATTAAAAAACTTCCGTGACGTTGACACAGAACAGACTTAAGAAAATGAAACAAACCAAAAAAGTTGCACTTGTTTTGTCCGCTGCAAAATGGCGCTTGTCAACGAAATTCTGCCAGTGTGCTGTCACCTGTCAGCTGATTGCTCAATGTAAAATTAGTAACACTTTTTAGCATTGATATTGGGTGCAAATGTTTTGTCCAATACTTTATATATATATATATATATATATATACATATATATATATATATATATATATATATATATATATATATATATATATTATATATATATATATATATATATATATATATATATATATATATATATATATATATATATATATATATATAACAAATGAAACAGTATAATTAACACGGCACTGTAATAAAAAATAATATTTGGATTTCACGTAGGAAACCGATTTTCAGATATGAAACATAGACAAACACAGCCGTGGCACAGCGTTAGAGTTCTGGCTCAGTACTAAGAGGTTCGAGGTTCAATGCTGGGTTTAACCCTATAAGCGACATTAGTAAGGAAAAAGCGTGAACTTCCTGGTTAAAAAACTCTTCTGCGGTATTCTGTGATAAAACCCATAAGATCTTCTTGAATATAATAACTAAAAAAAAAGAGAATTTAATAAATAAAGTTACATTTCTTTGGTGATCGTGAATGTTACGCAACAGGAGTGTTTCGTTTAAACACCAGCAGTAGTCCGTCAACATCACGACATCCCAACGTCTTACCGAGTTTCCGTTTCTTTTATGTTCTGATGGAATCGTTTGCTTTTTTTGTCATACCCGACAGAAAATTTAAATTTTAGCCATATATCGTAATTACACAATGACTATATATACACCACTCTACTTTATGGAATAACGTTAGTGCGGTTCATTTTATGTTTATAATGGTTATAACACTGAAAATTACACTAAAAAAAATTACCACTTCGCCAAGTTTCATAAAAAGCTCACAGGAATCTATGCAGTAAACTCATTTTTCATCCTAGGTGACAAAAAAAACAAGTATCATTCAAATAAAAGGTTCTACAGATGCCATTCTGTAAAAGATTTTTTCTTTTAATTGGAAAGCCAACAGTTTTACAGAATGTTTTTTGAGATTTTAGTTTTAACACAAATTAGATTTTAGCACAAATTAGAAATAGCTTTACCTGGGAGAATAGTTAAGATACGGCTTTATTAGAATTTTATTAGAAATTTATTAGAAACTATAACTAGAATTACAAAAAAATTTTTTTTACTATTTTCCAAACCGTTGAAAATGGTAATCGGCCTAGTTTGAGAAATTCTTGAAATATTATATCTGAAGCTGCAAACTCGGGTGTAAACGCGACTTTTTTTTAGAAAAAAAAATAATTAAATGCATCTTTGGCCATACTAAAGTAGATTATTTAAAGACCTGTTGCTGCATTGAAGCCTATAATCTTAAGCCATAAACTATTTTAGCAGAATTAATTCTGCTAACAATAACTAATTCATGTAAACATTTTTTTAGATTGTATTGCAAAAACTACAGTTTTGGTATTAAAAATGAAAAAGTCAAATTTAACAAGTTTTTTGATAATATCTTTTTTATATTTAGTGGTGAACAAAATAAAAGGTAATTGTTAAAATAAATGTTATTATGTTAAATAATTTGACTTTTCGTATAAAAGAAGTAAATGATAATAATCTAATTTATTTAATTAGTTATTTTACAATTAATTTAACTATTAACTAATTTTAAATGTAATGAAACGATTAGAAAACAAAAAAAAAAACTTTATTTACTAGTCTATATAATTAGATTAATTTTACAAATATCTACTGTGCAAAAAAAAAAATAGGTAAATTAAAATTAAGTGCATATTTTATTAGAAATAATGAAAATAGTAATATAAAATTTAATTAACTTATGATTTATTAATATTTGGTTGTACACCCTTTATTCGCAAAAAATATCTCTTCAGTTAATGTTTAAACTCTTCTCCTGATGCTCCTGAGGTTAAACTTTTATTTTCACAGCATCTAAATAACACAAAGTTAAACTATGTATGAAAAATAGTAAACAATTAAACTAAAATCTATGATTAAAA